GGTGGCGCAGCAGATTACAGCAAAGCAGTGAGAAGCCAAAGCCACTCAGCACAAGTTCGATCCCCGCCCAGAGGTGACCACCTGGCGCGGCAGACCTCTCCTGACCCGCCCGCTGCTCCCCTCAGCAGTGTGCTTCGTCCATCTGCCTGTTCTGCTCCCCGCTCTGTCTCTGGGGAAGCCTCTCACCCTCCGCATCTCTGGCCTGTACCCCAGTTCTGTGTGCACAAATAAATCTTTCTCTTTTTTTAAAAGATTTATTTATTTGTACATACAGAACTGGGGTACAGGCCAGAGGCTCAGGGGCGGTGAGAGGCTTCCCCAGAGACAGAGCGGGGAGCAGAACAGGCAGACGGACGAAGCACACTGCTGAGGGGAGCAGCGGGCGGGTCAGGAGAGGTCTGCGGCGCCAAGGTGGTCTCCTCCGGGGCAGGCGGGATTCGAACTCATGCGGAAGTGGCTTTAGCTTCCCAGTGCAGTGCTTAAACCTGCTGCGTCACCAGGGAGGGCCCTTTCTTTCTTTCTTTTTTTTTTAATAAACTTGCTGAATCAGCGAGGAATACGATCACCTTGATCTACCGGTTTTCTCTCTAGCAGTACGCCTGTGGTTCATGTCATTGCCCTAACCCATACCAGAGGACCAAGTATTTGGTTTGCTGTTGGCGTTTCTCCTGTCTCCTCAATATTGACCTCATACGATATTCCAGTAAATACAGTCACCCTTACACCTGTGTAAAGTGGAAATAATCTTCAGCGACAGCATTGTTTCCCTTTGTCTTCTCCCCAGTCTGCATCCGTGCTGATTGCCTGGAGGCGGCCGGGTGCTGGACCCCGGAGCCCAGACGGGCCTGCGGGGAGCTGTGGGGTGGAGGTGGGGGGGCAGCATCTGCAGATGCTTTTTGGGGGCTGCTGAGTCTTTGTGGGGATGGGCGGGTGAGAATGGCACCCTACCTTACAGGGAAGCCGCATTTCAGCGGTTCTTTGAAGGGCCTGTCTGTAGGTTGCGAAAGCCCCAGCTGTAAATGGGAGGGACTGACCACCAGACTCAGTTTCATCATGGAGACAGAAAAAAAACAAAAACTTGATACCTTCATAGACTTCACATTAAGCCCCTGATTGCTTTCGTTGGCACTTTGTATTAGTATTCGCAAAGTTGAACGATGGACTCGTATTTTTGGTATTTCCCCATATCTAACATCCTCCGGTGGAATCCTGGCGCCATTTTTCTAACTTGTTGCGGTTTTCTAACAACTTGTCGAACTGAAACCTCACATGACACCAGCGGCAGCTTGGGGCCGGGGTACCCACGCTCCCCCCCACTGGCTGGCCCCTCCCTCTGCGGTGGCCCTGGGATTGTGTGGCTGGACTCAGACCGCGGGGGTCCTGGGGTTTGGTTTCCCCCGCCTACTAGCGCGGTGCTCTGGGGGCGGTCACCCCCTCTCCCTCCGCTGACTCGGTCCCCGGACCTGGACAGCGAGGGCAGCCGGTCCACGGTGAGTGGGGAGGGCTCGTCGTCATCAGGGCTATAGGAAGGTGATGGTGTCTCCACCCTCTCCCGCACGGTCCTCAGAGGGGCCCCGCTGGGCACCGGGGGCATGGGGCACGCTCTGGTCACCAGACAGTGACAGCCAGGACTCCGCTTGGCCCGAGCGGAGCAGCGAGAGCCGCAGACGCCCCAGGAGCAGCGAGAGCCGCAGACGCCCCAGCATGAATCGCGTGCGCCCCCCTCCCCCC